GTGAGGATATGCATCCTAAGGCAAAAACCTCTCAAAAAAAAAAAAAAAAAAGAACTACTGGGGACCAGCAGTAGGCGTAATGGCTATGTCGCTGGACCCTCATGTAGTCGACCACAGTTCAAGTCCCAGACTCAGAGGACCAGCAGTTAGTGTAATGCTGTGGCTGGACTCCCATGTAGTCAACTCTGGTTCAAGTCCTGGACCCAGTGGCTTAAACTCACACTGGGTACGTGTTCATGCATGCCCAGATCCCAAGAGGAGAATGGAGAAGGGATTGGCACGTACCCATCCCCCCGGGAGGTGATTTCTCACTTTCTGTCTCTCTGTCTCTCTCCGTCTTTCTGGCGAGCGACACGCCCTATAGCAAAAACCTCCCTGCCCCAAAAAGAAAAAAAGGAGAAATAAAAAAGTCCCGGACTCAGTGGCTTAAACTCACACTGGGTACGTGTTCATGCATGCCCAGATCCCAAGAGGAGAATGGAGAAGGGATTGGCACGTACCCATCCCCCCGGGAGGTGATTTCTCACTTTCTGTCTCTCTGTCTCTGTCTTTCTGGCAAGCGTGCACACTCTATAGCCAAAAAAAAAAAAAAAAATGAGAGAGAGAAAGAGAGAACTACCGATCTAGACCAACCTGGGTATTAATCCTAGCCTCTACCACTTAGATTCTATGAAACTCAGTTCTCTAACCCTAAAACAACTTCAGAAGGGTGTAGAATTTAGGAATTGTGTAAGCAGTGCACAGTAGTGCCTGTCAAACAGCACCTGGTTCATAACAGATATTTAGTGGTAGCAATTGTCATCACCACCACTACTGCCGCTATGTCTACTAAGTAATGGAACATATTGAACATTAACATCTCTACATTTTTCACTGTTTTAAACTGCATTATAATTTTTAAAAGTTATTATTTAATTAATTTATTATTTTTATTTGACCAGAGAGAGAAAGTGAGAAAGCAAGCCACCAAATCCAGGATTCAAACCATGGTCACTGATGTGGGAATCTAGTGCCTTAACCACCATGCCACCTGCCAGCTCAAACTGCATTGTAATTAAACATTCCTTACATTTTACATTAACTACTTTTCTGATAAAATGATAAAAGTTAATAATAAACTAGGTGACAAATCAATAACTTTTACAACAGGTAAAAGAGAATGGCTCTAGAACACAGCAGTTTGTTACATTAAAATTCTATTTCTGGGGCTATCAGTGGCATAGCATTGCACTGCTGGACTACCGCATGGCCAATTGCAGTTCCAGTCCTGGACCCATGGGCTTGAAACTCACACTGGATGAGAACAGAGGAGAAGGAATTGTGGTGTGGCCATCTCCCAAAGGGGTGATTTCTCATTTTCCCTCTCACTGTCTCTGTCTCTCTCCAGCAAGTGCACGTGCCCTAAGGCAAAAAAATATATATAAATAAAAATAAAACTCTACCAAAAAAAAAAGTCTAGTTCTGCCTTTAAAACATCAGCTGTGTATGGTCCTATCTAAAACTTATTTAATAAGCATGTCCAAAGCTAAGATTCAGATGCCTGCATTTTCTTGGCCTCACTCCCACAAAACTATTTCCTGCAATCTTCCACCTAAGTTTATGGTTATTCCATTCTTGTTACTCAAGCCAAAATCTCAATGACAATCTAGACTTATCTTTCTGTCACTTGCTATAGCTCAACCTTCAAAATAAACACAATATCTTACAATAGAATATTACTTAGCAACATAAAAATGAGTTTTTAAAACATTGTGCTGTGGAGCCAGCCAGTGGTGTGGGGGTTAAAGCACTAGGTTCCCACATGACGACTGTAGTTCCAGTACCAGACATATAGGCTTCAAAATCATGCAGGGTGGGTGTGCATGTGTGCCCAAAATCCCCAGAGGAGAATGGAGAAAGGATTGTGGTGTGGCCATCCTCCCGGGGGGCTGATTTCTCATTTTCCTTCTGTCTTTGGCAAGCACATATGCCCTATGGCCAAAACCTAAACAAAACCAAACATTCTTACTGAATGAAAATGAAGCCAAATAAAAGAGACTAGTACTGCCTGATCCCATGGAAGTAAAACTCTCCAATCTAATCTTTAGTGACAAAAAGCAGATCAGTGGCTGTCTGGGGCCAGGGATAGAGGTGGGACTAACTGAGAGGTGGGACTTAACTGAGAACTCTTTTGGAGGGACAGGAATGTCTTACTCTTGATTGTGGTGGTAGTTATGAGCAAATAAGCTTGTTAGAATTCACTGAATTGTATAACACATACACTGATTTTATGTTAATTATGCCTCAGTGAAGTTGATTAAACATGCACAGTTTGACCAGTCTCACCACAGTACCTCCCTCCCCGTACTGCGACCACAGGGGAGCCACCAGTAACTCTCTTCTAGTTTACCTCCTGAATAAGTTTCCCTGCTTCTGTCCTTGCCGCCTCACATTATATTTCCAACATAGAGATCCTAATCAGACATAAGCCACATTGTATCACTCCTCTACTTGAAACCCTCTATGGCCTCTCATCTCAGTAAAATTCAATGCCTTCATATGGGCCTACCGTGATTGGGCTCCCTGCTACTGCTCAGACTCAGCTCCCACTGCTCTCCGCCATGGCTCTCTCTGTACTCCGACAGCCACAGCTGGCTTCCTTGCCATTCTTCAAATGGGGCAGGCACTCTTGCACCTAGCAGACCCTCTGCCTGGAACGGTGCATCTGCCTCCTTCCTTAGAAGACCCATGTAGCTTGCTCCCTCACTTTCTTCAGATCTTTCACCATCTCAGTGTCTTCCCCTGACCTCATCTGAGATAGACTCACCCAACCCCAACACACACACAAAATGTCACTTCCATTTCATTTTCTCCTTTTTCTCCTTTCCTGCTTTATTTTTTTCTCTCCAGGTCTCATCACTGTCTTACTTATATTTCCTAGCTTTCTCCTCCACTGGATGACCTAAAAGGGCAAGGAGTTTTATCTGTTTTGTATCCCCAGAATAATGTCTAAAATAGATGTTGAATAAATAAATCTATCTGAATAAACTAGCTTTCCTTTTAACAGCTAACAGTAGAATTTGTCTTACAGATGCATCTATTGATAGTTCATTTGCTTTAAAAAATTCTGGCATATTAAATAAAAACTTTAGCACATTTAAGTATATGTTAATATGTATCAGCCAAAATTAATAAACACTGACAACTTTTTATCCAATTTGCTGATATTCTCTTACCAAGGAACTATAATTCTCATTATTATCAAAAATAAGAGTCTTATCAATCTCTTTGCAAAAAGCTAGACTTCATGTTGGCCAAGATGCCCATAACTACTACAGTAAAAAATAACTAATCAATCTGACAGATTCAGAACTAATAATTCATTGTAAAATGCATATAACTCATTTATCCTCATCATTTAAAGGCTTCATTAGAGGAACTCTTGTTTTATAAGCAAGTCACATAAATATAAGACTGTTAAAGGGGAGATCAGTTTAACATAAATAATTTAAAAGTAAATCAGGGAGTAGAGGTGACTTTGCTCTAGAGAGCAGAGTCTCTTCTCCTTGAAACAAGCAAACAAGACGCCTTCCGAACCAAAGGAGATGTCTCCTTAGTAACTGGGGAGGAGGGAGCTCCGTACTGCAGCCTTTACCTGCACCAGGCAGCTCTTACTTGAAATGCACTAGAGTATTCAACTTCATGCAAGTCAACAGTTCTAGCGTGTGAGAATTATCTGCTTTGGTTTATAAGCATCATTACATATTTCAATTAAAAATAAAGACCGGGCTTTCATAACAGAATTTAAAATGTTTTATGAAGGCAAGTATAGTGGAAAATTTCAGGACGGTATTATTCTTGAAGGAGCTCTGAATAAATAATATTACCAAACTCAGTAAATATTTTAAGAATAAGCAGGAGAAAGTATTACAGATACACTATCAGCTGTACTACTTCTTCTTTATTATATATAAAGCTGCATCCTTCACTTAAAGACAATGAAAAAAATAACTGCAATATACTATCCTAGCATAGAAGGACAATAGCTGCCTGAACACCTCATATAACATAGTCTAATCACCATTAGACCTCGCAACCAAGACATTTTTAAGCTCTAATTCATTGAATATTTATCTTGCTATACCTAGCATCTGTAACAGTGAATTGTTACTTGTAGTTCAAAAAAAGTGCTAACATCTCCAAATCGCCTGATTGCTAAGTTGTAAACTGCTTTAAACATAAAATAAAGGTTATCTGCAAAAGCAAAATAATAAAAGCAATACTACCAAAATTAACAGACACTCCTAACAGACAAGAGGTACATTAGGACAGGATCATTAAAATGACTTTTATTGGCATGGTTTAGAGTTTTCAAAGCAAGATGGAATGAGAATGATCATACAATACCTTACCCTTTCTACCGGTGAACCATAGCATGCAAGGCCGAAACATAGCAGAGGCAGATGGCATTGGTGTTATTAACTATAAAAAGGATAATAGCAGAGAAATGACGGCTGGCAGACAAGACACAGAAATGCAGATGAAATGAGTGCAAACTTGTAGTGCGTGAAGCAGAGCAAAACCTTTAAGCAAAGGTTGCTGCTAGCTTCAATTTACATGTCGAGTTTTACACAGACAAACACTGCAACCTTCGCAATCAGTCTTTAGACTCTTCATGCAGAAGCAGAACCATACTCCTCGATAAAGAAGATCAGCAACCTTCTGTAAACACAAGCCAGCAGCAGCAGCAGCCCATTACTCTCTCCCTTCACTGATTTTTATCCTTTAAATTTTTAATCTCCAATTGCAGCCAGATCCACAGTCGTTTCAAATAGATCTGTATCCACTGCAGATATAAATCCCTGCCTAACCTGCAGTACCACTTCATCCAGAATGTTCCTGTGCACTCGTTCATGCAGGATCAGTTGCAAAAGCATTTAAGTCATCCAGCAAACAACCCAAGAGAGAAGGAAAGAAGCAGTTGGGACTATGAAGAGAAAGAATCTCTTCTTTCAGCTCACCCTGGAAATGGAAGGTTTTCTGATCAACAGTTATTGTGAAGGTGCTGTCGTCCTCATCGTCTATACCAATCACAGCTCCCTGTGAAACAAAGAGCAAAATCCCAATAAGGCAAACAATGACATCAGCAATATTCACTACTGCTACAGCCCTGGAATACTCAATGCACCGACGACACTGGAGGCAGGCTAGACTCACACAAAAAGGAATCTGAGACTCCGCTTTTGCTTAAGGAGAAAGAACTAAAGGACACGGTAGTACTCTGTATGCATACTTTCTATGCCCTGCACAAGGGGCAGGGAAGTGGTAGGAGGGGGAGAGGACAAACGGAGAAGCTAAGTGTAGAATCTGTATAGGAGCCTCTCTGAGCTTTAGATTGCTCTCAAAAACGGGAGTTGGAAACCTATACCTCACCACGTTGTTGTGAGCCTTAAAGAAGGCAGGTGCTCTTCATCAGACCGCTTCTGTGTTATTATACTCATTAGTGCAGAAATGCTAGGTGACAGTTGCTTCAAACACTGTCCCAATCTCCCGTAACTCTGCTACTGCAGTCTCACACACACTGTCATATCTGTTTACATGTCTGCCCTGTCCCGCTGAAGAACTACGAGGTCCTGGAAATCAAGGACAATTTTATTTTGACATGTGGCACTCAAGTGCATATTTAGTATAGGTTGTCCAAACAAAAGCATGAGCAACTCTCCAAATGAGAGAAGGGGGCAGGGAACTACATTCATAGGTTGTTTCTTTCAGGAAGGTGGAAAGGATAGAGTTTAAACCTTCACTTTTTTTTAGGGAGGAGGTTTTTATTATTTATTTTATTTATTTTTTTATTTTTTTAAGATTAATTTATTTCTTCCATGAGAAAGAAAGAGATACAAACAGGGAGAGAGAAAGAGACAATACGTACCCTCAACAGGATCTTCAAGCTGTGCTCCACCTCTGGCCTGAGCCAACCCAGATCATGGGTAAGCATGAGCATACAGGGAGGCCTAAGGACATGACTCAGAGAAATTCCCACGTGGGTCCAGCATGCAGAGCTTGTGTTACCACTGTGGCCACCGCTGGGCCCTTTTTGGAGGTTAGGGTTTTCCATCCTCTGCTCCCAGTTTCCCAGGTAGTGAGGATTACAGATATGGAATAATCTGCCCAGCCTCTTCAGGCTGGTCTAGGATTTAAACCCAAACCTCCTGTGTGGCTCCAGCCTCATGCACTGGCAATGCCCTTTTAGCTGCACCTTTTGTGGTTAGGCCTAGTCCTTTATTTTTTAAAAATATTCAACTATATGCATCCTGTTAAGGCAGCAGGAGTTAAGGAAAGAGACAAAGAACCACACAAAATAGGGAGTTCATTGGCAATGTCTTTAAGAAATAAGTGTCTTGAGTATTCCAGAAAGAAAAACTAGAGAACATGGGAGAGGTCAAAATGCTTCTGGTTCTACCTATTTAAATGATCTTTAGCCCACAGTGTCAGAGGGCAGGAGATTTAATTCCCATTTTCAGGTAAGGAAAATACTTCCAGAGAGTGCAGTGACTTAATGAAGGTCACACAGAGGTTAATGGCAGAACCAGGACTGAATCACCATTGGCATGATACCCACCTATCCCATGCCAGCATACACAAACACACCTCAGTGGCAGGCATGTGGGAGAGCAGCTCATTCTTGTGGTTGAGCTATTGTAACTAACAATATATCATCACTAAATAGAAAAATATGTGCTAGATATAGCTATGGAATTTATAACAATAGTCTCTGCCTTCAAGGCACTTACATTCCAGTAGAAGAGAGAAACATGCAAAAGGTGAGTATAATACAAGGCAAAAATCTCTGTGTAGACGAACCTTGAAAACAGTATGCTATATGAAAAAGTGAGTCACTAAGGACCACATTACAAAACTGCACTTACATAAATGTTCCAAATAGACAAATTCATAAAGATCGAAAGTAGAACGCTTTGGTCAGAACTGCCATCTTCCAGTAATTAACCAAAATGATGAACACAAAGGGAAAGACATCCCGGACCTGGTGGCTTAAAACTCACGCCAGGCGCGTGTGCGTGTGTGCCCAAGAACCCAAGAGGAGAATGGAGGGGAAGGGATTGCGGCGTGACCATCCCCCCTGGGGGGTGATTTCTCACGTTCTGTCTCTCCTCTGTCTGTCTGGCAAGCGCACGCACCCTATAGCGGAAAAAAAAAAAAAAAAAACCTCTCCAAAAATAAAAAAAGAAAGGTGATATTGTAGACATTAAGGGAATGGGTACTGTTCAAAAAGGAATGCCCCACAAATGTAACCATGGCAAAACAGGAAGAGTCTACAGTGTTACCTAGCATGCTGTTGGCATTGTTGTGAACAAACAAGTTAAGGGCAAGATTCTTGCCAAGAGAATCAATGTGCATATTGAGCATATTAAGCATTGTAAGAGCAGAGATAGCTTCCTAAAACGTGTGAAAGAAAATGACCAGAAAAAAGAAAGAAGCCAAAGAGAAAGGTACCTGGGTTCAACTAAAGCGCCAGCCTGCTCCACCCAGAGAAGCACACTTTGTGAGAATCAATGGAAAGGAGCCTGAGCTACTGGAATATTCCCTATGAATTCACGGCACGATGGGTGTTAAAAATAAACTAATCTGTGGTCTATTAAATTAAAAAAAAAAAAAAAAGACTGACAGTAGATTAGTAATTACCCAGGGCTGGAGGGGTTGGGGTAAAATGGAGAGTGACTGCTAATGAGTCCCAGGTTTCTTTATGGGGTGATGCAAATATTTTGAAATTGTGGTGAAGGTAGAACAACTCTGTGAACCAACTAAAAACATTAATTGAATATTAGTGGATTGTAAGGTATGTGAATAAAATCTAACAGAGCTATTGTAATTCACCCCACTCCCAAATGCCTGCTGTTTCTTTTGAGTTCTTTACTGTAAATTCATAAGTCACCTAGTCAACTCATATTAAAAACCTCCAGGTCCTAGTCAAGTTCTCTTTCATTTCATGACCCCAAGTTATACTAAGTCCATCTCTGAACTACTATCAAAAACTCACCAACTCTTCTCCATAATCACTACTACTGGTCTAATTTAGGCTTTCATCACCTCTTGCAGGATAATTCAATCGCTCTACCTTCAGTCTAGTTCATGGTCCTTGCTATTGTCAGGGGCTGTTTCTAAAGTGCAGTCTCTTACAACAGACTCATGTTTAAAACTTTCCTTGGCTCTTCATGAACTAACAGATATAATCAACATTACTTCATAATGCCATTCAAGACATCAAGTTGATGGCTGGCCCACCTAACTTTTCCACTGTCATTACCCTGCCTCCTTCCTCCCCACCTCACAGGGACCCTGTATGCTTTCAACCCCAATATCTTTCCCCTGGGGGGGAAAAAAAAAAAAACAAGCAATTATGCACTTTTATGACATTTCTCAAGCTCAATTCCCTACCATTTGTTAAGCAAAAGCAAAACTCCACATCTCCCTCTAGCTCTGCTTTCCCTCTTCTTTGCTTTGGGAGAGGAACTTTAGGAACACTGGTCATACCTTAACCTTTTTTTTTTTTTTTGGAGAGATTTTCACTGTAGGGCGCGTGCGCTCGCCAGACAGACAGAGAGAGACATAGAGACAGAAAGCGAGAAATCACCCCCCAGGGGGGATGGTCACGCCGCAATCCCTTCTCCTCCATTCTCCTCTCGGGATCTTGGGCACGCACGCACACGCGCCCGGCGTGAGTTTTAAGCCACCGGGTCCAGGACACGAACCGCGGTCGACTACGTGGGAATCCAGCGACATAGCCATTACACTAACTGCTGGTTCCCCATACCTTAACCTTTCAGCCACTCCTGCAACCTAGATTCCTTCCTCTCACTACACCAAACTTCTCCCTCATGGGTCTCCATTGACCATTTCACTGCTCTTTAGTTCTGTTGTATAGCACTTTTCTGGTTATTTGTTGATCTTCTCTTTCTTGAGATCCTTTTCTTTTAAGCTGTGCTTTGGAAACACTTCCCCTAGGCATCTTTGATAACCTGTATGGAAGAAAGCATTCTTTTCTGCTCAGTTATACTTTCCCTTTCTATTTACACCCTTTGGAATCTAACAGTCTCCCATCCCAATTCAATCTTACCATTACCGCTGATGTTCTTCAATGTACATATACATAATTCACATGACACTGGCTTCTCAGTTTCTTGGTTTGATCGACTTGATTTGGTGGATCGACCATGCAGGAGTCCAGCACCTCAACCACCATATCACCCACTGGCCCCAATGTTCTCTATTTTTAAAAATTAATTTCCAGTTGCTATTGCTTATATATTGAAATACAGTTGATTTTTATATAGTGATTTTATACCCAATAATCCTGCTAAAAGTTCATTTACCAATTCGAACAGTATATCTATAGGTTCTTTCAGTCTTTTCATATGCCCAATAAAGTTGCTGTGAATAACCGTTTTATTTCTTTTACTCCAGCCTTTATACCTTGTATTTTGTTTTTTCTTGTTTTATTCATTAGCTAGTACTGCAATAACAACAAAGCAGTCCTTGAGTTGGAATTCTAAACCTTCCTTCTAGGCCCTCCCACCTAAAGATTCACCTGCAATTAAACCCATCTTACTTCCTTTCCACTTGTCACAATGGAAAAGGAGTCTGTTCTTCTACCTAAAACCCAGTCCCCCCACTCATGCTCCATATTCTCTATCACCTATTTTCAAGTCTCTTACTCTGCCCCTTCTCAACCTCTCTCAACTGGCTCCTTCTCAACTACACACATGCTGAAGACTCTCAGCAACAACCCTTTTCAATTCTACATCCCCATCTAGCAGCTGGGCCATCTCTCATTCCCTTCCAGTCAAGATTATTTAGAGTTCTCTAAACCTCTTGTCAGTAATTTGTTTTAACCTTCCACCCTTTAGAGTATCTGTAACCATTAATGGCTTTTCTTCACCTTCACATATGACTTGGTTTGCCTAGAACAATCCCAGATTATTCACGTTATTTTTGCACAACAGTGAGAAGATGCCCCATTTCAATGTCAAGAGTATCCTGGTTTAGGGCGCCTAGGCCAATATGTTACAGCCTGGCCTACGAGG